GGGAGGGGTGATCTCACCCTTTGGCGAAGACGAAGACTTGCCATCCGGTTTCTTGACAGCTTGGTCAGGCGGCTTTCTCAAAGCACTCTTCCTAGGAGCCGCTGCAGCCTCTGTTTTTTCCACAGCATCTTCCTTTTCATTCTTCTTTGTTGTCTTCTCCTTCTTAGGAGCCGCTGCAGCCGCTTCTGTCTTTTGCACAGTATCTTCTTTTGCATTCTTCTTTGTTTTCTTCTCCTTCTGACTGCTTTCCTCCTTTTCCTTCTCTTTCTTTTCCTTCTCTTTCTTGTTGGCGCTCTGATCCTTGCCATCCTTTCCACAAGGCTTGGCATTTGCACCCTTCTCGTTCTTTTCACTTCCGCTCTTCTCCTCCTTCTCTTTCTTTTCGTTTGTGTTGCCTTGGGAAGTCTTCTGTCCTTGTTTGCTCTCACTCTCAACTTGTGTTTTCTGCTCGCTGGAAGCTTTGGCGAGAGCCAACACCTTGTCCTTGATCTGCGCGGCCTTTGCCGCTGTCAGCTTGGATGATGCAATGGTCTCCTTCGAGCCAGGCTTCAGGCTCACCACCTTAGGCAAGGCTAAGGCCAACTCCAGCTGCTTTTTGTTTTTCTCCGCTGCGTTGGGATCTAGCTTCACACCCTCAGTCTTGCTCTTTTCTGTGCCCTTGACCTTGCCTTTAGAGGATGGCTTCTTTTGGACTTTCTTCTTAGCCCCTTTACCCATGGTTCAGACGCAGGTTCTATTCAACGCTGGGCACCACCAAGTCAAAAAGCCAAAATGGTCTCTGCAGGTAGGATTGTTCAAGTTTGAAGGAACTCAACGCTCACAATCAATAGTTGTTTGCTGTGGATGTGCCTAGATACAGCTCGCACTTTCTCAACCCTGATCAGAATTTAGAGTTTTTAGTTGTAGATATGTGTGTAGATACCGCTCGCACGTTCTCGCTCCCGCTCGCACAGTTTTCGCTCCCCCTCGCACTATCCAACTTGCACTGAAAACCAAAAATTTTTCCCTTTCGGTTGACGTTTCCCTCGGACAGGCCCTGCAGAAGCGCCTTGCATTGGATTTCGCTTCAGCTGGAATCTCCCCATCGATGCCTGGCAATAAACCCAGGTGTGTCACAATGGTGTGATCTTGGGGGCGATCTGGACTGGATAGGTCTTTGGTGGTCTCACTCGATTTTCCACACCACACATGTTCTCACAGACTTGCATCAAGGAGTAAAGTCTTGTTGATAGCCATGACTGCAGAGCTCCGGTTTTCCTGCCCGTAGAGCCCACGCGCACACATGTATTGCACATGGTGAAGGTGAAGCTGTATAATTTTGCTAATTTGGATTCTATCTAAATGCAAAGAGAAAGCACAAAAGACCTACTTTGCCAAAAAGTTGAAAATTGGCTCTAAGTTGGCCATCTTCATCCACTTGGCGTTCATGGCAGGTGCACAGTTGGCGACATTTGGCGTTTTCTTTGCCAATCTCAGGAACTTAGCTGCTTGCGCTCGGTGCTTTGCAGCGTGCTTGGATCGCACCTTGCTCACAGCCTTTCCAAACCTGGGGATGGTGGTGGACAGGGAGCGGGTCGGGAGGAACAGCCATCAAGGTGTTGCTATCCCATATTTTTGGAGGGGTCACCTTGTGGTTTGCACTTTGAAACACAAGCGCCTTCGTGGATAGGCTTGTGAAGCTTTTAAATCTCCACCCCCTTTGATTCGCTGCTTCCCAGAAGAGTCCACATAGTGAACAACCATCTCAGCAGTATTCTCCGGAATCAGGGAGTGGTCCGCGTAGTTGTTGATCTCGGACACCTCTGGGTGGCCTTACATAGTCACGCGCAGTTTTTGAACAAGTTTATCTTAGTTGCAAAGAAGTCCCATAACATCTACAATTTTACACAAACACTTGCGAAAGGAAAAACAAACAGGTTGCTGCAACCAGCCCTGGAACTGCTGTACACCCACGTCGGTTTCCTGGTTCTGCCACCGAACCAACACATAGCAGTGGTGAGCCTACGCACATGGACAGATGGCAAGCGGAGAAATGCCTCAAACAAAGGATGCCTCTCAAGCAGCGAGTTGACTGGCTGCTCCAACATCCACCATATTTTGCGAGCCTCACAAAGCAGCAGGAGTATGACCACTCTTGCCACCATTATGTTGGCGTCCTGCACTGACTTGTACTCCTGCTTTCCCAATGGCCGTTGAGAAGAGCGACCTGTACTGCCCCTCGACCTTACAAAGCTAAAAGGATTGCACCACCAAACCTCCCTCTCGTGTCTTTGTTTCTTCGGCCGTTGACGCCAACAGTACTTATGTCATGTCCACGGTTGAAAGGACTCATGTGCTGACAGTACACACGCACAAAGAAGGTTGCAACTGAGGACGCTGCATGAACACCCACGTCGAACAAACAGGAGCTGTGAATTTTCCGCTCCCCGGTCGTAACCGAAGAACCTGGTGCAGCATATTGGCATAGCCAACATCCGACAGGATGTCGTGGTCAGAGGACAATACCACATCCATGGGCACTGCCGCCCTGCGCGCCTCCAGGTGTATTTCACCGCACTGCTTTGACTGGCGCAGCTACAATAAGCTTAGCCCAGCCAAACTTGTATTACACCTTATTGTTTAGAAAGACTTCGACAAACATCACAAGGCCTCAAAGGATTATATAAAGTTACGCGTCATCCTGTAAAATAGTTCATAAGGCCTTTTGACCGCCTCTCTGGGTTTTGAACGCCACACCCCACCTCCCACTCTGCGCGGGTGATTGACATGCATCCGCTGAAAGTCTCCAAATCCTCCAGCGGGTCAAAGCTAAGCGACTGGATGCCAAACATCAAAGAAACCAAGTACATAATGACCTTCCAGGGGAATTCATGACCACTGAGCCACTAAACCAATACCACGTTATTTTCATTTGGTCTAACATTGAGCCATCACTGTACAAGACCTTTAGGTTGAATGAAAACGACAGAAATAGGGACAAACAATTGGGGCCAACTGTTGTCTAGTTGGCCCTATTTTTTTGCATGGTTTCTGGATTGGCTTGGGGTTCCATGCAAAGCACTGCGATAGGGAAAGGGCTTTTATTGAAGTGCGTTTCCTATGTCAGAACAATCACCTGCCTTGGAGACATAACCAGCAAATCCCTACCAGGTCCGATTTGAAAACCTACAACCTTTTCAGCAAACTCCCACCATCGGCGCTTTCAAGGAGCGCAGCCCGGCCATCGTCCACGCTCGCTGCTTCTGCTTATACGTGCTGGGCTGTGGAGCTGAGGCGCTCGGTTTGAATTTCATGGCACGGACAGCCTTCTTCGCTTTTCGTGGGATCCCCATCCTTGAAAGCTCAACTTCAAACCTCCCAGAAGGTATCAGAAGCTCTGAGCACTTGGGCCAACTCTAGCTGGACATGCGGGGGTTGCTCAGCAACTGCAAAGCATAGAGACCACTGACATGAGACTAGAGTAGCTTCTAGGGATTTGTTCAGGGCCCCAACAAATTTCAAGAACTGTTTTCAATGCGCTTTGAGGCTCTAGTGCGTGAAGCTTGCAAAAAACATTGACAAACCTTGTCGCTTGACAATCTTGAGATGAGAGTCTTCACGCAAAGGCTTCGGAAGATCGTGCCTCCCAGTGGCGATGCAAAGATCCTTGCGCGTTGTCGCTCAGCCAGTTTTGGTGCGCGTGGCACAACACGTAAAGTTGTCAGAGCTGGGTGGCTTTACAGTTTCTAGAGTTCAAGAGAGCAGTCCTGGGAACTGAATGACCACCGATCACAGCGAAGCCAATGTGTCTAGAAAGAGCTCCTCAAACCAATAAACAATGAACAGGACTCACTTCCTCATTTAGAGTAGCACCTCTTTCACTCCTTCCGCAGGTTTTTGTTGAATATCACTGAGATCAATCGAACTAGGAAGAACTTCATGAGATGTACTCAAAGCTACACTTGCATCGAATAAGAATATTTCCACGCGGGTCTCTTTTTACAGGGTGGCCTGAAACCTGTTTTTTTGATCCAAAACGGTGGTTTCCAGGCCACCCTTCAAATGTGAGAGAAACACATCTGAAGCCAGCTGTCCTGATAGGCGGAGGGCCAATCACCCGATGTAGCCGAGCTAGGACAAAGGCCTCCATGTTTGGACACTCTTGTCGCGCACCAAACATGCAAGAAGAAAGAGGTTCTGCGATGGCAAGACTTCGTCGTTGGAACAAAGAACTTCTGGTTGTTTCCAACGCTGCAACCTGGTAACTCATTGGGCCTCCACGATTGCACCAACCCTGGTTGGCCGGCTGGGTAGACGATGAGCACGATGAAGGATACCTGCAAGCGCTGCCATCCAAGGACGCGTTTGCGATCTTCTACTCTGGGGTGAGATTTCATGCATCTTTACTGAGATGAGATTCTTGGAGGCGATTGGAATGATGTCGTCATAAGACTTGCGTACTTGTTCTCTAAAGCGCGTGCGCTGAAAGTGTCGGGCCTCCACAAACTTGCAGATTTTTGGGGGCCCGGTAGACGACGATCTCGATGAAGGATGCCTACAAGCGCTGCCATCCAAGGGCCCGTCTACCCTACGATGAGTTTTCATGCATGTTGCTGACACAAGACTCTTGGACGTTTTTAGAACCGAGCTTGAAAACATAGGTGCGGCGATAGGTCTTGCGTACTGTACTTGTTTTGCAACTTGCACACAAAGTGTCACAGGGCCTCCACAGATTTGCAGACAATTTGGAGCGGGTAGATGGCCAACAGGATGTAGGTACCTGGAAGCACGCCGACGGAGGGTTGAATTGACGGTTTTGTACTTCTGCAATCTTGGGATGATGTTCCATCTTCGCTGACCCGATACTCTTGGTATGTTTTACCCCGCTGTCGTGAAAGATCTCTTTAAGCCTAAGCATCCAGGATCCAAAGGTGGCTAGGCTGTCAGAATTGAGCCCAACCGCTATCTGTGGAAACTTGGAAGACATGTTCACCTCCCTTTTGGAGATGTTCCCAATCTCTCTGCTCACACAGAGAACCCCATCAACGTCCTAGCCGCCAAAATTGGCACGGACTTTCGCAACTTCCCAGGCAGCTTTAACATTGGGAAACTTGCACCACGATAGCTGACCCTTGATATTCTTGCCTTCCTCAGCCTCACCACCAATACGTTTCACCACAAAAGCACGGTTCCGGCAAAGAACCTCAATGGCCTCAGTTTAACAAAGGGGTTAATGAACGTGAACATACTTGGGAATGCTTTCCAACGCTGCTGAACATCAACATAGAACCAAAACTTATATCCAAGTGTTGTTAAGGAACGGCCCCATTGGAAGATGTCACTGTGTACCCAAGTTTTCCTTTGGTGGGTCCAGCTGGCCATGCTTCAGCTGGGACAGCAAGCTCTTGGAGATCGAAGTCGCGGAACGTGGGAGATTTGCCATTCGACTCAGGAACTGGTGGCTCTGCAGCCTTGGCCTCTTGCTTGGCCTTCTGCATTCCTTTCGCCTGGGATTGACGCAGGGCGAAACTTGGCACACATTGGGTCGGAACAGGCGACCTTGTCAAAAGCTGGTGCATTCCGAGATATCAAACCCCATACTAAATGGAAAGCAAGGAACCGTTTGCAAGCCAATCGGCGGCGGGGTGATCTTGCCATCTTGGAAGGCAGATTGAATGTTCGATGTATGGGGCGGTGTCTCCAATTCGGGTAGCTTTGTAGCTGTCGCACCTCCAAACCCTTTTGATGTGGTTGCCCCAGCGCTTGACTTCAAAGCTTTAGCCATTGGACACTGTTCACCATCCTCGAGAGGGAACAAGGTTGAGCGAAACTTGTCGCTTTGATGCACGCATTACCGCAATGTGGCATAAGTATATACAGTAGATAGATAGATAGATAGATAGATAGATAGATAGATTTATATATATTTTTTTTTTCAGTTCTCTAAACAATATACATACTTTTTGTGGTATAGCTGGCTTGAGAACGACAGCTGGCGTCACATTGAAAACTTGTAATTATCGCATACAGGGGCGCGCTCCTCTGCGAATGATAGTTTCCGCTTCACAGCGCTGGAGCCGCCGTGACCTTTGGGAGCGTCTTCAAGATTCGTGGAACTCATGGCTTCACAAGCGATGCCCTCATTGAATCCAGCAGGCGGTCGAGGGATCTTGTCATCCTCATCCTGCCCAAACACGTGGTAAACACCATTTTGCAAAATATGTCAAGTTTAAACAATTGAAACAATTTTTGCAAAAGTTCAAAACCTGTTTGACACAAGACGAAGGAAGCTTAGGCCCTCCTCCGGTTCCTTCTTCACGCGTGCAGCTGCCAAGGCCTTCTGCGCGTGAAAATACCGGCTTTCCCACATCTCAATGTGGTCCGGGGTGCCTAGCCACGTTGATGCCCGCAACCCATACTTGCTGAACGCCCACTCGACGTGGTCCATGAAGGCAGGTAGATGTTGAGCCCTGGCTGACGCGCTAGACAAAACAACACAAGTGAGAGCTTTTAAACATCCAAAAAACAACCCGCTCAAACAAAATCTTCTTGAGCAAATTAAGAGCCACTTCATTATGGGAGCCTGCTCAGATGCAAGGTGCTGCATCAAAGCCACGCACATCTCTACAACGTGGCTTCTGGGCCAACCAGAGTGACCACATTCTGGTGACTCCCACATATGCAGGTTGTGAGGAAGCTGCATGACACAATCCTGACCTCCATCAGCTTCAGATTCGCTCTCAGAGCCTGAGTGATCTCCCAATCGCAAAGTGGCTGCATCCAAGTCGTCATCCACATCAGCAGATTGGCAGCGGTCTTGGGCCATCGCCTTCCCAAGGGGATCTTCCTCCTTCACTGCTTTAATGCCCAAGTATTCACCATGTTTCTCAAAGACATCGAAACAGGGATAGTAAAGGGAAGGTGAGAGTGAGAGTGCGCCCGCGTTAGTTAAGCGCGCTAAATCCAATTCGAACACGCGCCAATGAGATTTTAGAAACAAGGGACTTGCGGTCCTCCTCAACTTCAAAGTCGCTCTCGCCATCACACACAGGCTCGCTGTCAGGCATCTGCGCGTCCACATGCTGGCTCTCCTGGCTATCAGCTGCGTCATGCATTTCTGCGTCCACACACTGCTGGCTATCGTCCTCTGGCGTATCGCCCTCAAGTTCAGCAGGCGCCTCAACCCCAACTTCAGCAGGCGCGTCATTCGCAGGGGCCGGCTCGTCAGCATCCACTAGACTTTGGTCCTCCTCGGCGGAAGCCCGCGACCGAGTTGGTGATTTCACCAACAAACTCTTCAAGTAGGTGATCTGGGGGTGGTGCCCAAGCTTGCCTCGCTGTCAAGTCAAAAAACCACAAGCGTTTCCGTTGTGGTGACTTACATGAAACCGTTATTGCACAGAGTCAACAAAAAGGAACCCAAGAACTTGCTGGAAAATGCTCATTCTAGAAACTCGAGCGCCAAAGCCCGCGGAGTGCCCCAATCAGGCGCTTGCAGTTGCCTGCCTCTTCAGCAGCCATGGTCTGCTTTGTCTCGCCCGGCTGTCTTGGTTGCAGGAGCTTGCCCATGAACAGGTGGTCGCAATAAAGAAAAGTGTCTGCGATCAGAAACCCCGATGGAACCTTGTCTGGCGATGCCTTCACAAAAGGTGCCACCCATGCAAAATTCAACTTGATGTCCTCGACGCTCGGCTTGATCAACTCGTCCAATTGGATAAGCTTGCCTCCATGCCAGTCAGGACTCGTGAGAACCTGCAAAACTGGAAGAGGTAGACCTGTTTTGAGCTCGAATGCCAGCTGCCTGATATCATCCTCTTTCCACGTCACCTTCCCAGCACCTGACTGAATGCGGAAGTCTCGTTAGTCACCCTTGCAGTATAAACCTAACTTCGAAACTTTCCCAAAACTCATCGCGCCACTCTAACCCGGCCCCCCAAAATCGTGATAATATACGATAAAGGAACGCACGCTTTTCCAAGTCGATACCGTTGCAGCAGAGGGTAAGTCCATAGCCATATGAGCTGCCTGGTTGTCGCCTAAAAACTACCGAGCCGTAAAAGGTTGCTGGAGACTTGGGCTGATGGAGACTGAGCGCGCTCTGGCTTCACAAATCAGTGCAGCTCACAGTTTCTATATATATATATATATGGCTGTGTCTTCTAAAAAACAAAAATTTTACATATAATATACATATATATATATATATACTCCTCTGTTTGCAGTTCGCGCACACAGCCCG